AGGTCGAAAGGGCAGGGCCGGCCGCTGAGGATGGGCAGGGCACCTGACTGCTGAGCAGAGATGGGGGTCTGGCTGAAGAGGGCCTGGAGAACCCCACACAGCACAGGAGCTGAGCTGTGATGGGGGGCAGCGTGGCCCCACGTGACGGAGCCTCGGAAACGTCCAGCTGGCAGTGAGGAGCGACAGCCGAGGCCGAGTGGAGCCGGGGGCCCAGAGGTTCCTCTGGGTACAGGACAACCCAGCAGAATGCCCTCCCCCAGTGAGCAGGAGACCCCGGGGAGCCACGGACAGACCCGGTACCAGCCTCTCCTCGTCCGTTCAGCCCGCCAGTCCCCGCCTTCCTTGAACCCGGGCGTCCTGGCCAGGGGCAGGACAGCCGCCTTGGTCTCAGCAGGGAAAGAGCTCGACCTGTGTGCAATTCCGGGTGCTCCTGCACTTTCTCTTCCCGAGGAAGGGGCTGGAGCTGCCCCACTGGGGACGGTCTGCACTGGCCCTCAGAGAGCTCTGCATGTCACAGAAACCAAGAAACTGATGCCCATGAAGCCCCCTTACGGACCCCGAGTAGGCAGCCGACCCTCAGGTGAAGGATGGGCAGTTGGGGGAGACGGAAGGGAAAAGTCCAGACAACTCGGGGGAGGAAAGTACGGGTGGGGGCAGGGGGTCCTCTGCTGGCGTTCCTCGAAACTCCCAGCCCAGAGCGACTGGCAATGCCAGGAATCTTCTCGGCTCCCTGCCTCCCCTCCCTGGAGCATTCCAAGGGCTGGGTTTCTTTCCTCTTGAAATATCAGTAGCATGAGAGAGGAATCCAGCGTGGGGTCCCAGGGGCACCCTCCCCACCCCCTGCCTGCCCGCCAAGCTGACAGATGAGTGGGTGGAAAGAGGCCTACGACGACCCCCCACCCCCACCCCAGCTGGGACAAGCAGCGCCCTCTCTGAGCCTCCCTTCTGTGACGAAGAGGTCAGAGCAGCAGAGGCAGCGGCTGGGTCACCAGGGAGGAAGGAGGGGCCCAGGCGGGGAGGGCAGGCTGGAAGGCAGAGAGGGATTCCAAGGAGCGGGTGTCAGGCCGAGGCCGAGGTGCGCCTGCTCGCCAGCAAGGGCTGTGCTCCACTGGGCGGTGACCCTGGTCCCCAGTGCTGGGCGGTGACCGGTCCCTGGTGCTGGGGGTCACCGCCCAGCACTGCACCAGCCCACGCTCCTTGGGTGGAACCATGTGACGATGGTCTGGCCTAAAGGGTGGAGCCCACCCAGAGGTGCAGCCGTCAGGGGCTGCAAAGCAGAGCTGAGGAAGAGCGGGGCACCAAGCTGCCGCTCACGGAGCCTGTTGGCCAGAGGAGCTGAGGAAGGCTGAGGTCACGCCTCCAGCGTGGCCATAAACTCGGCCAGTGAACGGGGAAATGGCTGCGGGGTGGCGGGGAGTCTAACATCTTCGTCCTGCAGAGGTTCTGCCACCACATGGAGCTCCCTCCCCGGGGCAGTTTTTTGAGAACAGAAGGGTGTACTCATCTCAGTCGTAAGCACAATGGCTGACACGGAGGATGGTCAATAAATGACCACTGAATTTTTAAATCAGTGGGTGAGGTCACAGGGACAGACGGTAGAATGGGTGTTGCCAGGGGCTGGGGGAGGGGACGGAGAGTTAGAGTTTGATGGGACAGAGCTTCAGTTTGGGGAGGTGAAGGGAGTTCTCCGGATGGATGGCGGGGACGGTTGTGCAGGCTCGAGAATGTACTGAACGCCACTGAGCTGTACGCAGACAGTGGCCGAAATGGTACATTTATGTTGTAAGTATCTTGCCCAGCTGAAAACTAAAATTTGAAAAAGAAACCAGTGGACGATGGGTAAACAGCGGAAGGAAACAGCCGGTGTCGCAGCTGCCAGGCCACAGAACCACAGGTGGAGGACCGCCACGGATTCCCGCTACTCTCCACCAAGGGCTGTGCTCTGTCCCCCACTCCCTGAATCCAGGCGGGTTGTCCCTCGATCTGACCAGCAGAAGGCGGCGGAGGCGACGCTGTGTGGCTAACACGCCCGAGTGTCGAGGGGCCCGATGAGCTCTTCGCCCACCACACCGGGGGTCCAGCTGACAGCCAGGCCCATAGACGCACACACGGAAGTGAGGCTTTCTCAGCCCCCCTCAGGCTGTCAGATGACACAGCAGGCAGGCAGGGGTGGCCAGCAGACCTCAGAGCCCGCTGAGCCCTGCCCACTGCTCAGGTGGCGGACCACAGAATCCCGAAACCTGGGGCAGCCAGTCTGTTATGAAAACAGACCACTGAGGAGGAATCTGCTCAGGGAGAGCAAGCCACAGGCTAGAGTCTCCATCCTGCACTCAGAGCTCGGGCCCCCACACTGGCTAAAGCCACCTCCTGTTTGCAGCCCTCCACAGGGTTCTGATCAGTCTGCAAGTCCTGGGGCAGAGAGTGACAAAGTCCAGGACGCAGGGGACAGGGCGCTCCAGGCCTGAGGCTGAGAGAGGTGGGGTGGGGTGGGGACTTTGGAAAACTCAACGTTGACTCCTGGGGACAGAGGTGGGGACACTTCTCGGCTCTCTTGGAATGCTGCCCATAAGGCACGAACCCTGAACAATCCAAGTCTGTCCTTGAGAAGACCAAACCAAAAGGTGAGAACACACCGTGAGCCCCCCATCCATGAAATGAGCTGCTGCTCGTTGAGGGGGACCAGGAAATGGAATGAGAACTCTGACTCACAAAGGCTGTGCTTCTTGCGACAAGGACACAAGTGAAAACAGGTGGCACACTAACTTGATTTTATCTCGCCTTCTCAATTCACCAGCTTCCCAAGGGACCCGCTGGTGTCCGTGGACAATGCCCACCAGCAGGAGCGTGATCCACAGCAGCCCGTATTAGCATCCTGCTGTCCGGGCCTCCTCCGGGCACCTGTGTCCCACGCTGGCCGGGGAAGCTGAGCCCCGGGTCAGCAGCCACCCCGGGCCCCGCCCCTGTCCTGGAATGCCATCTGCACAGGGGAATTAACAAAGAGGAAATGGCCCGTTCCCCCAAGAGCTGATCTGGGAACACTGCACAAGTAAATTCTGGAGAGAGCAGACAGTCGCATGGGGCACAGGATGCACTCAGGCCTTGGGACACCTTCGGTAGGAATTGTGACCTCTCGGTGTCTCCGTCGCTGCAGTGTCATCAGAGGAGGGCCCACCCAGTCAGGGAACATCCCTGCGGCCCCCAGGTCACCGCGCCCGGGCTGTCGCTCCCACGGCCGGCCAAGCGCCGTCTGACTGCTGCCCCTAGGTCTCACCTACAGGACTCGTGCTTCTTGGTCACCCTGTCGGGGAGCCTATATATATATATATATATATATCTATATATAGATATATATATATACACACACACACACATATATATACATACACACACACACATATATATATGTACACACACACACAAAGAAATTGAGTTCACTGGCTGAACGCCAGTGGGGTCGCCCACAGCTTCCTCTCCGAGGCACCAGACGAGGTTTTACTGCTGGACTGAGGAGCTGTGGCCATTCCAGCCTGCTCTGGGACACCTTTCTTCGCTCCCTCCCACCCTGCCCTCAGCTGCCCCTTCCACCAGTGTCCGGGTCCCTAGGGGGACTCCGGCTTCCAGCCACACCACTGCCCCTCATCCCGCTCGCTGCACAGACCCAGGGTTTGGACCTGCGGTGGAAACAGAAGCGACACGTGCAGGATGCGGACGTCTGCAGCCCTGTCTCTGCGGGGTCTGGGAGCCAGCACGGTGGTCCCCCGAAGGCAGAGGCATCTGTGCTCTCGGGGAGACCACGCCGCCCTTCTACACGCCCACCACGTGGGCCCAAACCTCGCCTCAGTCTGACGTGAGGACCGCCTCCGTTCTCACGCGCCTCCGCGGCCTTTGGTCGGGGCGGTCGTCGGTCATTCACTATGATTTATAATACTTAGATCATTCTTGTAATACAAATGTTAACTTCATGCAACCATGCCGGCTGTCCTCATCCAGCTGAACCCGTGTCCAATATTTCACTGGAAGGCCCCCATGGGAGCTTTCACTGACCCACCCCCACCCTCCTCAAATGCCCCCTGGGGGCCTGCTTCTACTGAGATGAGCAACTGTGGGAACAAGAGAGAAACCAAGAACCATCCCCTGCAAGTGACGCACTTGAGAGCCCCTACCTGACCTCAGGTCTAAGCCTCACCACCCCCATTATGGACAGAACCCTCAGGCACACAGCACCGAATGTCCTAGAATGCAGAGCATCCCTGGGCTTTTCCCTCCTTTTAGGTGGGTGAGAGACACCTCCCTTCTGGCCATTTTGCTGCTTATTAATACACTTCTATGGGGCAACTAGGGAGGGTGTGGTAACAAATTAAAAGCGGCTAAGCCTGATACTCTTAAGCAACTCTGGCAATAATAATAATAAATGGTAAATAGTGACTGCCTAGGAGACCAGACTCAGCACTGGTGACCCAAGTCGGGCTTCCTTAGCTCACACACACACACACACACACCCTCCTAGAGATTTCAGCTGCAGGCAGTACAAAGCCCTCTTCTCTCTCACCCTCAGGGCTCCTGCGCCTGAGCCCTGACCCTTCCAGGCAATTCTGTTGGACACACAGACTTGTCTGCCACTGTCTCTCTTGTCCCCACACCTACCCATACCTACTTCCTGTCCCTCCTGCCCTGCTGATTTCATTTGAATGACAGCAGCTGTTACCCTGGCCCACCCCCCCAAAACCATTTTTTTTAAAGCTCCGCTGGCAGCTGTCAAGGCCTGAGTGCTGGTGGGCGAGGCAGGAGCACAGGAGGGTCCCTGAGAGGCCCGGCTTCCAGCAAGGCTGCCCCAGGCCTCCTGCACCAGGGGCTAAGTCGTCGCCAGCCCCTCCCGCCTCCTCTCTGGCCCCACCAGCAGTGGGGCAGCTGCCTTCCCAGTCCAGAGGCTGAAAAAAAAAATACACAACGATGCAATTCTTTTTAAACGCACAAGCACATCTAAATTTAATCCAACTTACCCTCGTTTCCCAGGAGAAAGGGGCAGAGTGCTCATCTTGCCAAGTTATGTCCTGAAACGAAAATTCAAGAAGAAATCTGAAATGCAAACCCAAACACCCTGAGCAAGCATCCCCCACAGCCACGGGGGAATCGGATTTAAGAGTAATCCCAACGCCTGGCTTGAAACGAGCCTGCTGTTTTGATGCTCTGCAGAGAATGTGCTGACCTTCCCAGTCTGGCCGCAGCCGACCTTTCTGGCTGGGGCTGCCCAGCACACTCCTCCCGGCCCGACAGACACTGAGGAGCCCCTGGGAGGCCCCAGGCCAGATTCGATGATGGGGGTGCTGGGTAGAAAGGGGGGCCCTGGGGCGCAGGGCTCAGCCCTACAGCGATGAGCCAAGTGGCCAGAGGAAGATGCTTAGCCTTTGAGCCCCAGTTTCCTCATCCGTCAGAGGAGAACCATTCTTCCCTCCAAGGGACGCCGTGAGGATTAAATGGATAACGTAAGGAAAGAACACGGGCAATGATCTGGTTAACGCTGAGACATCTGAGTCCCCACTGCCCCCTACATGTCTACCAGAGATCTGAACGGCACCGATCGGCAAAATCAATGAAGAAAATGCCAACTCAATGCAAGGACCTAAACATAAGGAGAACCGACATCACCCCCTCACCCTCACCACACAGAACATGGTAGAAAGAGTCCTTCCAAACAGCCGCTGAGAATTCGGCCTTGGACCCATTATGTCTGCTCACTGGCTTAAACAATGACAGGGAAACGGCCTTTCCTTGGTGACCCTCTGACCCACGGCTCTCTTCCTGTGCTGGCAAAAGTCTCACCTGTGTCCCGCTTCTATCTGGTCCCGGATGGGCCTGCCCGGGGCCAGCTGAGGAGTGCGGGTGCTTGACCTCGTGTAGGAAAGATTTCACAGCACGAGTGCAGGGGACGGTGAGGGTACATTCACTAAAGCCGGGGACGGGGCAACAAGGAAGGGCTTCGTGTAGAGGAAGCAACAGGAGAGCCGAGGCTGGGCCACCATAGCTCCCTGGGAAGTCAGAGAAAAGGGGCCTTGGGGACAGGGTCAGGGGACATTAGCCTGGGAGAAGCTGCCCTGCCCATTACCTTAGGGTTTAGGAGACACGTGTCTGGGGGAAGAAGTGGTGGTGGGGAAGGAGTGGTGGGGGGAAGAAGGGAAAGGGGATGGTGTCCTATGGTCCCCGAAGGGCTGGGCCCTTTGTCTTGAGTGTTGTTTTTTTTCCTCTCTTGCAGGCAGGAACCATAGCGGAGGTCAGAGGAGGGTCTCAGCAGGATACTCATCAGTTCCCCAGGTGTGCCCTGTGGGGGTCAAGGTCTCCACTGATGGGTCAGTGCCAGGGCAGGGGGTCTGCAGTCACTGCAGCTGGTCCTGGGCCGCCCACCTGGCTTTGCTGCTTTTCTGGGCCTGGAAACACGGCCGAGGCCTAGATGTCACCTCCAGGGAGGAAAGGCAGGGGCGGAGAGGTGACCCTGGGGGCGAGACCTCTGTCTTCCCAGGTCTGCCAGGTCTGGTGCCCATGTGCACCTGGGGTAGACTGCTCAGCACTGTGTCGGGCTGTCTCAGTTTCCCTATTCCACTGGCCAAGGCACTTTCCTAGCTTCTCGCTACTCTGTCTCATACTGGGGATCAGACGTTCTAAACCAGAAATTGGGACATATTGGGTGCTCCAGGATGAAGTTTTTTAAGTTGAGACTGTCCCCCCATAAGTCACCCCAGGTACATCATGTCCTCTTCTTCTTCCCCGGGGCACCCCCCGATCCCCAGCTGGGTTCGCTGGCTCCCCCCTCCTCACTGACGAGGCAAACCAGTCCAGCAGACGCGCCCCCGCCTGACCCGACCCCGCGTCGGCTGTGTGCCGGCCACCACATGGGCTGTCAGGAAAAACTTTCAAAATGAGAGGGAGTTTGGGCTGCCTCCCTCCCGCCTGGAACTTCAGTTAAACCCAAGTTATTTTCAATTGACAAACCCTGTCTCTCCAAACAAGGAAATGCACTGCCGGAGGAATGTGGGTTAAGGAGCCTTGGGGCAGGAGTCTCCCAGCAGTTGCTACGGCCCCTGCGGCCCATCCTGTGTGTGTGTGACAGGGGGTGGCAGAGGGGTGCAGCCGAGCTAAATGACCCCGGGGGGGGGTCCCTGCAGTTCTATGATCTCAGGACCCCAGAAGGTCCTCTCAGAAGTAATAAGAGAAGGACTTCGTTTTCAGATGGGAAGAATAAAGGCAGCCGATGGAATGTAAATATCATTTCATCTAGGTTTGGCTCTGTACAAGGAAGTAAAGGGATTCCTATGAACAAGTGTGCTTCTGTGTCCAGGGGAAGGGCAGCCCGCAGCCGCCTCGGTGGCCGGGGGCAGTGTGTGCAGGCAGGGAAGGGACGGGGCCCCTGGCCAAGGGCAGGGCACACTGCGGCTGGCCCCCCTTATCATGTGATACGATCTCACTTCTAAATATTAATTATGCAGCTTGAGTCTCTTTGAATCTGCAAAGGTGAAAATAAGGTTTTAGCTTTGGAAGGTGAGTGAGTTCAAGACTCTAAGCCACACAGACTCCGCCCGGAATGTGGTGGGCCAGCAGCCCCCTGGGGGCACAGCCCACAGGAGCTCCAGTTCCAAGGGGGTCAGGGCCCAGGGGGGTCACTCTGTGGTTTCTCCCCAGTTTGGTCTCAAGTCAACCGTGGTTGTTTGCTCCAGCGAGAAACTGAGTCGAGGGGCAAATTCCTTAGATTTCTGCAATCCTGAGCTCATAAAAAATAATAAAGTGCTCAAGAAAAAAAAAACATGCCAAACGAAAACACGGTCGAGGCTCTGATGCCGGGCACCAGCTGCACAGCCCACCCCGAACAGCGCTGGCAGCGAGAACAGGCTCCCCAGGCGGCGGGGTGCAAAGCGGCGGCAGACACACGTGTGTACAAACACACTCGCACACACAGCTCTCTTTCTTCTAACCCCACGATGACCAGCAGGCAAACCAAACGTGGCCAGTGGCCACATGCCTGTGGACAATCACACACGTCTCCGGCAGGGCGGCTTGGAAGGCTCCCCCACCTGCCTCCCTGGCGCCCGAGATCTGAAACCAAGCACCGAAACAGCTGCTGCGGAGACCACAGGACGGCGGGGCGGCCTTCCTTTCGGCCGAGAGTTCTCCTCCGTGTTGAATTCCGCTCCAGGAGAGATGCGCAGGCCAGAGAAGGCACCGAATCTCTGGGAACGGCTGCTGCTCTGGAGCACGGCCCGGGACAAAGGGCAGAGGGGGAGCCACAGAGGGGCCCCGGGGCACACGGCTGCGGATGTCCAGCCAAGGCCAGTGCACACGTGGCGGGCTCTGGGGGTCCCCGTGTGACCCCGAGGACTCAGGACGGACACACACCAAGTATGTTTCCTAACGGTCCAGAGGCCTGGCCTTTTGCTCTTGTCGGGGACATGTTCACCCAACACAATGTCACCTCCTAACGGAAATAGTCGGTTTTTTTAAATAAAAATATGCACTCCCTGCCCATGGTCCTGGAATGCGTGTTCGCAGGGAAGCTCCAGCATTTACTACTTTCCCACTTGGGAGAGCAGGTGCCGGGGAGCCGGGGGACCTCTGTGGCCCAGAGAGCTCTGCATTCGGAGGCAGCAACCCGCAGCGGACTGGAGCGGCCCACCCGCTCTGCAGTGATGCAGTGACTGTGGCGTTGCTGGCCACATGCTAAATTCACATATAAAAATGGTTAGAATGGTGTATTGTGTTGTGAATATTCTACCACAATAAAAATAAATCTGAAAAGGCTACATACTGTATGCATCCAACTCCACCGCCTTCTGAAAAAGGCAAAATTCCGGCGTCAGTGAAAAGTTCTGGGGTCGCCAGGGGTTAGAGGGCGGGAGGGAGGAGCAGGCGGCGCACTGGACGTTGAGGGCGGCGAACACTCTGTCCCATGCTGTCATCATGGACGCCTCTCTCAAAACCTGTGGGACGTTCACCAGCACGAGGAAACCCTGTGCAAGCCACAGACTCTGGGCTGTGATGCTGGGCCAGTGCTGGCCCGTGCACCGCGACAGAGGCCCTGCTCTGCCGGGGATGCCGACCGTGGGGGGGGGGGCAGTGCCTGTGTGGAGTGGGGGGTTGGTCGGAATTCCTCCAGGGGTGTCCACCCTGCAGCCGGCCAGGCCACATGCAGCCCAGGATGGCTCTGGATGCACCCAACACAAAACTGTCAATTTACTTAGAACATGATGAGATTTTTCTTGTGATTCCGTGTCACAGTGGATTTAATGTGTGGCCCAGAGATGCCCAAAGGTTAGCCACCTACTTTCCACTCGATTTTGCTGAGAACCTAAAACTGCTCTAAAACATAAAATCTAGTTTCAAAAAAAGTGTGTGTCCCGGGGAAAAAAAAGCCCACAGAGGTCAGACACAGTCAAAGGTCATCATTTCCAAACCGGTACATTTTGCAACGATCTGTGCCCTGGGGAGGCTGCTGCCAGCTGCTGCTTCTGCAGGGAGGAAGGGGCATCGGTGACACCGCAGGGCGGTGTGGCTGCTCCTCCGGCGGCTCTCACTCAGCGCGTCCCCTGGGGGCTTGGATCCCGCAATCCAGCAAGAGCCACACTGCCAGGCCCCCTTGCCCCCCGCCTCACCCCACGTCCCGGAACACACTCCGCTGAGGCCCATTCACCACAGTCTATGTTAACTGTCATTTCTGCAATTCAATTTTTAAAGGATCTTTGTACGTTTGCTTTTGAAATTATTTGGTTACAAGTAACTATAATTGACTAAGCTTTCTCTGTAGAAGTCAAGATGGACTATTCCAGAAGTATTCTAAAAGGAGAAACCCTGGACTAAAAACTCATTTCAAATGTGGTGACATTTTATGAATATTCACCTAATCAAGTTTGATGAACTTGATCAGAGACTACTGGGCACTTCTTCTTTTATACCTTTTTTCCCGGTTTAGGGCCAGTGAACCTGACTGTTCCGTGTGGAACACACAGCACCTGTGGAAGGCTCCGTCTGCGTGGCGGAACCCCAGGTCCCCCCAGATTGGTCTGAGGAA